TTGTTATGTGCCGTCGAGTCGGACCCGACTCATAGCGACCCCTCCTTGGGTTTCTGAGGCAGTATCACTACGGAAGTAGATTGCCCCATCTTCCTTCCATTACTACCATCATTTGGCCTTTATTACTTTTCCCCTAGGCCCTTCCTACTCAAAGTTTAGTCCTCCCCCAGCAGCATCTGTATCACCGTGGCTCATGTCAAAAATGCAGAAGCTTAGGCTCACCCTAGGCTTACTGACTCAGATACTCAGGTTCTTCATCTGTTCACTGAAGTTTCAGAAGGAGTAGGCTAGACCACATCAATAAACTTCTAACTGGAAACATAACTCCAGTCTCTTCCTTTCTTTAATCCATCCCACAGACCATGGTTACATAAATTCCTCCTGGTCATGCCCTTCTCTCTTAACTCAAACCCCTTTAATGGCTCTACTGTCTAAGAAATAAAGTCCATATTTCTTAGAAAGTGAAGCTCTCAGCCACTTGCCTAGTCTATTTCCCCAGAATTTGTACCCCGTTTCACTAATATACCTCATGTTTCAGCCTAATAGAGTAGAGGAATACATTGAGGAAGACGAATCATAATCAAGAGTCACTTTTAGCAATGACAGAATCTGGCTCTATAACCTCAGGCAAAATATTTGTCCTCTCAAACTTTGGTTTCCTCTTTTACAAAAGTAAAGAAGTTAGACCAGCCCAGTGTGGCAGTTAAATCTGTATGTCAACTTGGCTGGGCCTGGTTGAATGGCTGGGCAGCTGATGGTAGTTATTCCCCATGATGAGACCGGCAATCAACTCCATGGTGGGATCTACCACCAGCAGCTGAGTAGCTGCTTTGGGATGTGGTCTGCTTCTTGTATATAGGAAGCCTTGAGGATAGTCTCTAGCTTATGGCATGCTCAGACCCTGCATGTAGCTGTGTTGTTGTTCAGCAGCCTGCCATGCTCTGCTGACCTTGGGACTTACAATGGACTTGAATTAATGGCCTGCTATGTGGTTTGGTGGGAGCTCTGGTAGCATAGTGGCTAAGGCACTTGACTGCTAACCAGAAGGCTGGCGGTTCAAACCCACTAGCCACTCCTCGGAAGGA